CTTGAATGTCACCATTTAAATGTTGATAGTTTGGTGCCGCTTAATTTTCTACAGAATGCCATACCGTACCGGTATGTTGAAGGTATGTCAAAGACGGCATTTTGATCTCCTCTCGTAGCAATTCTACACGTTTAGACCTGTTTAACAAAAGTAGTCATTTAACACTTTTTATGTGAAATAATTAGGGATTTAACACTTTTATTTCACTCTGAGATTTCTGTGTAGCAAATGTACCATGTTCTACGTCCTTCATTTCTGCCACTTTTGCCGTTGACGTGGTCCGAGTGTGCCCGGTCCGACATTCCCGCCCGATAGCGAAACACATGGGTTCGCACATTTTTCTCACTAAGTTTTGGCGTGATCCAAAATTTTAATACCTCAAACCCACAAAGACAACAAGATTTCAGATTTTCATGAATGAGAAGGTTCCACTGTGATGGAAACTACCATGCGATCCGTGATAAAAACATTTGTAGTCTTCTCACGCCTCGCTGCTATCGATCTTGAAAAATTCATTCAAGAAGATCGATTGGAAATCTTGGATGGCAATGATGGCTGACTATCCCACTGAAGATAATCTCGTCAGGGCGAGGGACCTTTACATGAATAATGTGGAAGCTGCCACTGCCTATAGTTACAAACAAGCTATGACTGACGCTGGAATTCCAGAAGCAGTTGCCTCGCAACCTTTTTATCAACACAATGTGAAAACAAAAGTCCTCAATGAAACGTCTGGGAATCCGCAGATTGATATGAGAATGGAGAGCAAAAGGAAGAGATTCCAAACATTGTATCGTCTACTCTATGAAGGCATTCTATTGAGGAAGCGATCAAACTATCCCGACACTGCTGGTACAATGAGAAAAGCTGGATACGCAGAGACAGAAATCTATAAGTTCACGACACCTAAGAAGGCGATAAGCAAGCATTATGCTTACTGCGCCCGAGCCGCAAAGAGAATCAGAGACAATGTGGATGTAAACCTTACCATAAAAGCTAACACACAACATGCACATGTACCGGAAAACATTGTTGAAGAAGTAGACGATGAAGAGATGTCTCCTGTTTCGGCTGCTTCGTCGGAAGATCCACATTTCCCTTTCTCTCCTGACAGAAACAACGACTACCATGAGCTAGTACCTCTACCAGAGGCCACAAAGCTTGCCAGCAAAAGAGATGACGCGTCAGTGCGGTCAACTGCTTCGACCATATCTTCAATTACTACGCAATCGGCGCCAAAGAGGAAGACACCTGCTCAGAAACAACACGAAAGAAAATCCGAAGCACAACTGAAAATGATGCGATCGTGTGCTTACAAAGTTGGAACGTATCTCTACAGTTTGAAAGACCAGAATCCCTGTGTTGAGTTTCAGGACGAGAGTCATTGTGCTGACCAAGTAAATAGACTGTTTGGCATTGAAGTGATTTCAGGGCGTGATCTGCGAGAAGCTGTCAAGCAAAAGAGGGTGGGGCAATCGCCACCACGCGTCGGAAGACCCAGTCTAATACCAGACGAGGATTTTATAGCTTTATGTGATGCTTTCTGGAGTATGAACGCTATCGATCAAAATAATGTTGACGGAAACCGATTGAACAGACCAAAAGAGATTACTCTTCTGGATGACGTAGTCAACGAGAAGAGAAAGAAGGATGGCGACATTGCTATTGGAGCAGAGAAACTGAAGCTACGAATCGATGCACACAATGCGCCAAGACAAGATATCGAGGTACTCGATCCACGGCGACAGCTTCGGGTCGAGTGGCTCACAACAAAAAATCAAATGGATCATTACAAGAATTCAGAGAAGATGTTTTTGGAAAGAGGATATGCTCGCTCACCAAAGAACGACCAAGAGAGAGCAGAGGGCTACATCGTGTTTCACCCCGGACAAGAGAAGCGCAACATAAACATGGATGAAATGAAATTCACGTTGGATGCATCCGTGGAGTCCCTAGGAGGTCGCCCTGCACACAGTCACACTACCAGCTGCATCTCAGAGGGCGGGAAGGCTGACAAGACACCTGATACCGCTTGCACGGTTGTCATGGCAGTTAATGACGATGAGCCGCTGCCACCGATGGTGATTTTCAAATCCACAGCAAAAGATGGATGCGGATACATTAATGCCAGGAACTTGCGTTCATTTCCTCAAATCAAAGGGAAGTGGGGATACGAGAAACCACGGATTGTCGATTGCTTGGTCTCAACTGGTGCCAATGCAAGTATGAATACGGATATTCTACAGAACTGGATGCGAGAGAGCATCCTCACGTTATATCCAGACTGCCAAGACATCCCTGGAAGGCGTGTCTGCCTAAAAGTTGACTCTGGGCCAGGGCGGACGGCTGCAAAGTTTGTTGGTGAAACAAGAGTTGAAGGGGTCGATATTTTCCCAGGCTTGCCCAATGGAAGCGAGTGTAACCAAGAAATGGATCAGCTATTTAGTCCATACAAGAACTCCGTTTACAGAAATCGGGATAAGCTAGCCAACGCCAAAGGGAACAAAGGAAATCTGACGCTCGTTGATGTTGGCTATTGCCTTTTCGGAGGTCAGGTCACATTGGAAGACGGCAATGTGCTCGAACTTGAGGAGTCTTTTGTCTTGCACTTTACCCCCGAGAAAATTCGAGCTGCGAGAGAAAAATGCGGCTATTGCCCGGCTACTCGAAGAGCTTTGGAAGACCCCAAAGTGAGGCATGAGATTGTCGAAGTCGAGGAAGATAACACGTTGGACGAGCTCAACGAAGTCGACGATGGTGAAGATGCTTCGGAAGAACCGAGCATGATGGACGAGCTCAACGAAGTTGACGATGATGAAGATGTTTCGGAGAGACCCAAAACGACAGAAGCGATCAACGATGGTGAAGCCCAGGAACTCACATCAATGACGAAGGTATTGCTCAAAGTCGAGAAGACGAATCACAGAGCTGTGGATGACTTGATATTGTTGGGCTACACACATGCCAACAAGCTTCGGCGTGCTGTAAGGAGATTCACAAGAAGAACTTTTGGAAAGGGAATCGAAACTGCCCCAGGTTCAAGAGAAAGACAAGAACTCTTTGCTCGACTGCAACATGCAGGTGATTATTTTCGCATCACTAAAGGTGGTGGTGTCTACAATATTGCTGATGTGCTCATTGGGCTCGAAATAAAAGGGATGAAGCAGCAAGTCGAAATTGAATCGAAAAGAAAGAAAAAACTTCAAAGCTTCTATAGCATTCGGCAACGAGCGACAAAGCTAGTTCATAGCAAGCATTACACGAAGTGGACGAAGGCAGATTTCGCCACCGTCATCAGCTACAAGCGAGGGCCCTTTCACAAGTGCGAGAAGGAGGAACCAACTATCTCCGTACTAAAACGGCTTGAATTATCTGAGCTGAGAAAGCATTACGAAGAAAACTACAAGGGAAAGTCGAGTGCATGGCGTCGGCAAGATATTTGGTCGGTCAAAGACGAAGAAGAGCTGAAGCGACTCAAAAGTGGCGAAGTTTCGCACTACACTGAGACTCGAATATACGGCGATGCCCTTGAGACTCAAAACGCATGGTTACAAAAAAAGTTTGAATCCATATCTAAAGATCGGCAAATTCAGGTGCTGTCAGATATTTTAAAGAATCTTGATGAAGGAGTTATCGATTCGGTGGTGAACAGCCTTCCTTATGACAAGAGCACTTTGCTTCATGATTGTCTTAATAGGGCTCCAAGCAGTGACGACGACGAAGATCTTAACAATTCCTCTTCTATTCACTTTTGCGAGACGGATCTTGAGTTTGCATCTCAGTGGAACGATGATGATACCCTTGTTGAGAATGAGATGACGGAGGCGGAGATGGAATGCGCAGCGATTCTTGAAGAAGAGTATCACGAAGATCAAAACGTCGGGGAAGAAGAAAACGCAGATGAAGACTTTGATTCCGACGATTCGATTGCCGATGACAATCACGACATAATCAAAGATATCGAGATTGATGCGACGCCAGCTGATGGAGACGGATCAATGGCGGCAGCGTCCTCAGACGACTCCAGTTGTGCATCCGCAGGTTCATTTGAGATGCAGGATAATGCAATGTCTGATAATGAAGAGAAGTCCATGGACGGGATTGGCCGACAGCCACCAAGAGAACCAACGGTATCGCCTTCAAATGCAGGTGTAAGCGAGATTCAAACATCTCCGACTCGCAACGAGAGAGCCGTCGAAGAATCTGTTGAGAATGCAAGCAATACTGACGTAGAAGCTGCGATCGCAGACATTGAAACATCGAAGGACGCCCAAACAAAGATTGCTCTTTACAATCTATTAATCAAGTCAAGAGGGAAAAAAGTAGGCCGTAGAAAAAAGAAAGAAGCCCTTGAGCGTTACTGGAAGGAATTGAAGACTGAGCCATTGGTATGGAGTGTCGACGATCTCAAGTCTGAACTAGACGAGTTGGCTCACAGTTGCTAAGAAGGGTTGTGCGAAGTGTCCTTTGCTTCCATTAGCTTGGATGGGTAGACTGCTTGCTCCTTCCGCATAGCTAATCATGTAGGTGGCAACACCAGAGTAGGTGGCAAGTCTCCGTAATCAACAAAAGGCAGAAGGTATATTTTCTTGCTACTAACATTAACGATGGAAAAAAGTTATATTCCCATCTATCATATTCTTGTAGTAGAGACAGTCTCAACAAAGGCAGGGAAGACTCATCGCGAATCTCAAGATTCATGACCTTTGATGATGAGATCAGACGAACAATGCCAGAGCGTTTTGCCACTTCGATATTTGATCGTCGAGTCGCAATTCAATTTCCCACTCATTTGCATATACTGTATGATGCGATTGCTGTGTCCGAATATCTGAAATACTGCGGGGTGTGATGAAATGCGGTTTGGTGTGATTGTTGTCTTAAAATAACATCTGTATGATTGAAAGATGTTGGTATCGATGCTGCACGCTGTACGACTATGCAACTACAAATAACTTGAAACATAATAAGCAATTGAATTATAATAAATTTTAGTGCGCGTATTGTTGTGTGCTTCCACTGTATTTCCGACCTAATGAAGGACACAACATGCATGGATTCTTTGACCGAAGAATCATCGAAGCAGAAGTGTACATCCACGGAATTATCGACCTCCACCCACACCCCCATCTTTCGAGAGTACATACCAGGGTAGTTCTTGCACTAGCTGGTCTGGGCTAGGCGCCAAACTATCCCCAGCGGGTCTTAGGCTTGCTCAAGCCTTGGTCGTCCGAGGTGTGTAGGGACACACAAGTTTTAACTCCTCCGGAGCCTAGCTAGTTGGCTGGAAGAGTGGACTGCTTTACTCCTTATGATCCGAGGAGACGAAATGGAGGTGTCAAA